CAGAACATGTTATATGTTTTCTAAAAGGATTAAATGATCAATATGCCCATGTAAGAAGCCAAATATTGATCATGGAACCCCTTCCATCAATCAACAAAGTCTTCTCCTTGATTCTTCATTAAGAAAGGCAATTTGAGAATCCCATGATGGTAGAGTCCAAGATTTTTTTCACTACCACAAGGAATGGTTCTAATTGGAGAGGAACTACAGGTGGTAGAAATAACTACCAAAGTGACCATGGAAGAGATAGAAACAATTCCAAAGGATCTATAGGTGGAATGACCAATGTTTGTAGCTTTTGTGGTAAGGAGAATCATACTGTGGAAACATGCTACTTCAAGCATGGTTTCCCACCAAACTTTAAGATCAAGAACAAAAACACTGGTTCATCTATCAATTCCTTATTTGATTCAATCGTACCGCGTAATCCTTTAAAGGGAGTTCTGGGTGAGTTATTTCAACTTCATGCTTTCTTTTCTTTGACTCAAAATGAAAAATGAGGGAAAGCCAAAAATTCTTTTTGATTTTTCATTTTTGAATTTCAAACAAAAAAACACAAATTTTGAGACAAAAATCAAAAATTAGAACACACAAGAGCAAAGTAATAAGATAATAATAGAGGAATAAGATACTACTAATCAGAATGGTGAGCAGAAGGAATCACTAAGTAATATCACATCTGACCAATATGCGCAAATCATAGAAATCCTCAAAACAAGTAATTCACAACGTCCAGATCGTATGATAAATCAAGTTTCTTATAATAAACCTGATGATGGTAAGATTCATCAATCCTCTGCTAAGAAAGGTAATCTTCTTGGCCCTAATGCTTGGATTTTAGACACTGAGGCCATTGATCATGTGACTAACTGTTTAGATAATTACACTAGCTATTATTTTATAAATCCTATACAAGTTAAACTCCCTAATGGCACTATTACACATGCTGGATTTTCTGGGACAATTTCTTTTACTGATAATTTCTATCTTGATCATGTTCTTTTTATTCCTAACTTTCAGTTCAATCTTATTTCTGTTCAAAGGTTGACACCATCATTAAATTATATCCTAATATTTGATAAATCCTCTTGTGTCATACAAAATATGACTACTTTGAGGAGAATTGGACAAGTTAAAGTACAAAACAATTTATACCTACTACAGCATCCTAATAAGCCTATTGTAACTGTTGTTCTTGCTTTGTATTTTTTAATGAGAAACATGTATTGAACACTATTAGTAATTTTGATTTGTTGCATTATTGCCTTGGGCATCCTTCTGATAAGGTTTTACATCATGTGAACAAACATTTTTCTTATGTTTAATTCAATTCCAATACGGTTTGTGATTTTTGTCATTTTGCCAAACAAACCAAACTCCCCTTTCCCATTAGTTATAGTAAAAGTAATATTTCTTTTGAACTTGTACATATGGACATTTGGGGTCCAGTTTCTGTCCCTTCAATGCATGACCATAAATATTTCTTAACTATGATAGATGATTATTCAAGACATGTTTGAATTTTTCTCATGAAATCTAAGAGTGAAACTAGAGATCTTATTGAGAATTTTATAAATATGGTTTATACACAATTTGGTAAAAGAATCAAATGTATTAGATCAGATAATGGAACTAAATTTGTTATGCATCCTGCATATGCTAAGCATGGCATCTTGCACCAAACCTCTTGTGTGGAGACTCCACAACAGAACTCTGTTGTTGAAAGGAAGCACAGGTACATTCTTAATGTAACTGGAGCCCTATTGTTTCATTCTCATATGACAAAGGTATTATAGGGATTTGCTGTCAAGCATGCAGTATACCTCATTAATAGACTTCCATCATCAATCTTGTAAGGTAAGAGTCCTTTTCAATTACTTTACAATGAAGCACCTAATTTGCTTGATCTTAAAGTTTTTGGTAGTTTCTGCTACGCATCTACCTTCATCCAAAATAGATCCAAACTTGACAGTAGGGCTAGAAAATGTGTTTTTCTAAGATATAAAGCTGGTACAAAAGGGTATATCGTGATGAATCTTTTCTCTAAGCAGTTACATGTTAGTAGGAATATTATTTTTTATGAAGATAGATTTCCATACAAATATACTATTTCTGAAAATATCTCTCTTGTTGACAATACTTTCTTTGATTTTTTTTCCTTAAGACATTGCTTTTCACTTTCAATTTACTTCTCCAAATGATAAACACCCTTATATTGCTTCCACTCCCTCTCATGAAGAACAAAACATTGCTGAAACTTATATCAACACCAATAATACTCCTTTTAATAACAGTGACAGCCAACAAATTAGGAGATCTCAAAGAATTAAGCATCCTCCTAATTACCTTTCTGATTATCACTGCAGCTTGTTACATACCCACTCTAATGAGCCCTCTGGTGATGTTAAACATCCTTTGAGTTCAGTTCTTTCTTACAAATCCCTCTCACCTACTCACCTCACATATACCTTATCTATTTCTACTCACATTGAATCGCACTCTTATTCTGAAGCCATCAAATTTGATCATTGGGTTGAAGCAATGAATGATGAAATACAAGCTTTAACTGAAAATGGAACCTGGTCTATAGTCCCTCTCCTTGCAAAAAAGACTCCCATTGGTTCTAAATGGGTTTATAAATTTAAATACAAATAAGATGATTCCATTGAAAGATATAAAGCCAGGCTTGCGGCAAAAGGGTATAATCAAATAGAAGGGTTGGATTACTTTGATACCTTTGCTCCAGTTGCTAAAATGAGTACCATTAGACTCCTTTTGGCCATTGCCTCCTGCCAAAATTGGCATCTTCATCAATTATATATTAACAATGCTTTTTTGCATGGCAATCTAGACGAGGATGTTTACATGACTATTCCTCAAGGAATCCCTTCACCTGGTCCTAATTATGTATGTAAACTTCATAAATCTTTTTATGGGTTGAAACAAGCTAGCAAACAATGGTTTGCTAAGCTTTTTACTTATCTTGGCTATCATCAATCTCAACATGATCATTCTTTATTTGCTAAATTTTCTAACAATCATTTTACTGTCATATTGACTTATGTTGATGACTTGATTTTGGCTGGAACAGATACCATAGAAATTCAATTTGTTAAACAACAACTTCATAGCAAATTTAGAATAAAAGATTTGAGTCATCTGAAATATTTCCTTGGGTTGGAGGTGGCTCGGTCTCAAACTGGTATTACTCTTTCCCAAAGAAAATATACTTTAGATCTTCTTTCTGATATTGGGTATCTTGCAGCTAAACCAGTCTCAACCCCCCATAGTTAAATTCTCCAAGAAACAGGAACTGAATACTCAACCCTATCATGATGTCCCTGGTTATAGAAGACTAAATGGGAAGCTTCTTTACTTAACAACAACCAGACCTGACATTGCTTTTTCTATGCAACAACTTAGCTAGTTTATGTCCTATCCCACTAACTCACATCATCAAGCTGCTGTTCAGATTCTTAGGTACTTAAAAGGTGCTCCTGGCCAAGGAATCTTCTATCCAGCTACATCCTCTCTACAACTTAAAGCTTTTAGCGATTCTGATTAGGGGACTTGTTCAGGGACTCAACGATCAATCACTGGTTATTGCATATTTCTGGGTGATTCTCTCATATCATGGAAATCCAAGAAGCAGCCCACTATATCGCAATCTTCTTCCAAGGCTAAATATAGAGCCTTGGCTTCCACTATCTGTGAACTTCAATGGTTGACATATTTACTTCAAGGCTTGAAGATTCCTTTCATCACTCCTTCATTACTATACTGTGATAGTCAGTCTGCTCGTCATATAGCTCACAATGTTGTCTTCCATAAATGTACGAAACATATAGAAATTGACTGCCACCTAGTTCAGAAAAAGCTTCAGGCTAAACTTTTCATTTGCTGTCAATTTCAACTCGCGAGCAAATTGTTGATATTATAATTAAGGCTCTTGATTCTTCTCCTTTTTCTTTTTTGGTTTTCAAGTTGGGAGTAATAAACATATACTCTCCAACTTGAAGGAAGTATTGGCGCTAATAATAATTAGTAATCAGTTTTGATATTTTAAAGATATGTTTTGTTATTATTTAGTGTTGATTAGATCCTTCTAGATATGACTCTGTTTTTAGTTACGAACTTTTTTGTATAAATACTTCTTTCTCATTTGTAATATAGTGAATTTACAATCAATAATAGATATTCATTTAAACTCTTTTATCAGTACCTTTTGAAACTTATGATAGAATGCATTAAAAATTATGGAAGTAAATGTCATTTTACATTATTTTAATAAAAGGAATTACTTCTTATTCCCTAACCAATGTCTTAAGTGTATTGATTTTTTATTTTAAAAAAAATTTAAGATACGTTGAAAGGTACGCAATAAAAATTGATATTCATTAAAATGTATATAATATTACCGAATTCAATGCATTATAACATTAAACACTATAACTTTTAATAAAATTTATTATTTATTAATTCTTTTAGTATGTGTCCTGAGAGACACACGTATTAAAAGAATCATTCTTAAATATTTTTTTTTATGTTTGGATTATAAAATAATCACTTTTTTAAAAATAAAATTACCAAAAGAAATATAAAATATTGTGCAATAGTTAATTTTTCAATTCAAGATAATTAATTATGAAAGATAAAATAAAAAAAACTCTAAAAAATAAATTGATACCCTTTAATCATATGAGCTTTACAATTTTGTTTATCTTAAATAAATTATTTCATTTTTGAAAAAGGTGATAAGAAATTATAAATTAATTTTTCAAATTAAACCTAAAAAATAATAGTTTAACTCAAATAAATCATGATTCATCGAAACTTGAGACATCAAGAGTCCAAGATCAAGGGGAAAAAGAAAAGACTTTGGACAACAATGCTAGTTGTACGTGAAACATTAAAATGTGCAGAAAATGACTGAAAAGTGAAAATGGGACAACTAAAAAATCCTTCCAATGCAAGATGAAAATGACTGAAAAGAGGTCCAATCATGGCCCTTCAAGAGATGAAACACTTGGAATACTCTCCAAGAACTTGGCCTTTGCATCAAGATCAGTTGAAAAGCGTCCTAATACAGCAGTAGTAGCTGTATTACTTCCAAACTTCTGAATTCCCCTAGAAATCATACATGTGTGGCTTGCCTCTGCCACTACTATCACATTCCCACCTAATAATGGTGAAATGGTTTCTGCTATTTGCCTTGTGAGCCTTTCCTGAACTTGTAGCTTAAAACCATAAAAATGTACTATAGACTGTAAAAGTGATTTTCTAATGGGATCAAACCCTTTTGAAATGAAGTATCCTATGTGAACAACCCCATGAAATGGAAGTAAATGATGCTCACATTGTGACCAAAAAGGCAAGTTCACCTCTGAGTATACTTCTTTATCGTTCAAGCCTAGCTCCCCATTAGTCTTCAGAGAATAATCCACCCCACCCCAAATTGAACCATTGAGCTTCTTATCAATGCTACTCCATTGAAAGTTCATCAACCATTTCACAAATCTACTAGGAGTCCCCACTAGCTCCTCCCTTGTAGGATTTTCACCTAAAGATTCAAGAATTGAAGATACAGCAGTGACCATAATAGGGTCAAGTCCTCCAATCTTTGATGAATCCACCTTAGATGAAAGACAAGACAAAGAAGGACACCAACATTGGTCTAATGAGCCACCCTTAAAATAAACTTCATTCTTATCAATACCTCTAAACTTAAGAAGGCCAAAGAAATCACCCCACATGTCTGAATCTTTGTTTTCAAAAACACCAGACCCTGAAGAAACAAGTGTCTCCACCCATCCTTTATGGCTTGAGTCAAGAATGCTTGATTCTGTATCTGGAAAGTGGATGTGTGAACACTGAAGTATGATAGCAACCCCTTGTGGTTGTATACCTTGATGCAAAGCAAAACACACCTCATTTGCAAGACGTTGAGGCTCTTGGAGTCTCTTTGCAAATACTTCAGCCACACGAGAGAGCTTGCTTAAACCCAAAACTCTTTGGCCAGAAGGAACATAACCCACATGACACTTCACTTGGAATGGCAGCATGCAAGACTCACAATAGGAATAAAAGTCAAGATCTCTCACAATAACAAGTCCACCTGCTCCTCCTGCATGACCAACAGTACTAATGTCTAGACCAGCTTCTGGGAATAATGCACCTTGCACTATGTCCTTCGCATTTTGCTTGTAACCTGAGAAAAAAGATCCTTCTTCTCAAGATGGGTGACTACATCTTTCAAGATAATGTGAATTCTTATTTCATAAAATAAGACAACATTCGGGAGTTGATCAATTTTTCTTTCATGATACTAGAAATTAATTTAATTAGTAATATTAATTTTATAGAGACTAAATTAAATTAAATTGACGATACTTAAAGTTAAAAATTGTATTTTTATAATAAAAAATATCAAGTTGACTAACACTAATTTGAAGGATTTAATTAATATTTTGTTAATAAATTTTGACATTCACAATTATATTAATAAATGGTAAAATTATAGTCAGATAAGGTGGTAGCGCGAGAAAGACGAACATGATTCTTAGGTGATTATCTACTTGAAGAAAAAAAAAAAAAACAATCTAGTACCAAAACCTTTATTCTCCCCGACCAAAAGAAAAAACAAAACTAGAAATTAACTCTAACATTAATTAATTGGTATAGAAGCCATTTTAAAATGTTTGGCGTATCCTTGAATGAAAACTTCCTTTTACTATCACATGCATTCCTATATTTAGATTTGTCTTATTTAAAAGTTTGATGTGATAAAAAACCTATTAAGAGTCTATTTTAGGAAAAAGATCCCCTCCTGTTACATGAGGGTCATGTTCCGTGTTTTTGTATTTTTGTTTAAGCGAATTATTTTTCGCTTAAACAAAAATGCAAAAACACAGTAATATGACCCTCGTGTTCGCGTGCAAACATGAGTGGATCCCGATCTTCTATTTTAGGTTACACCCTAGAAACATGTCCATAAACATATCAATCCAAATAAGTTAGCAGCCCTACTAGGATAAATAGGTCAATAGACCTATTAACATAAAGAGACCAAATAAATAGGTCAATGAGTATATTAACCTAGATAAAATTAATGAAGGCAAAGTCAACTTTAGTAAATTATTATTTTCAATAATTATTTTAATAAAATTAAAAATAATTAATTTAATTAATAAATTTGACATTTTATAAAATAATAAGTAATAAAATTTCACATAATTAAAGAATTAATTAATATTTTATCACAATTATTTTATTTTAATGTCTGGTATGTTCATTCAGTAGACAGCTACAAAAGCGAGAGCCCATAAGCTCCCATCCCAAAATGGTTGAAGATTATTAAATTTGTCACCATGTACTCTTCGAAATTTAAGTTTAAGTTACACACTCATTCTATCTTGTACTAAAATTTAATTTTATATTAGAAAAAGTACGTAGAGACTGTGAAATTAACTGTCAAAATCTAACCCTTGTAATATTTTAAATAAATTAATTTCCCACTTTAGCCTTTGAGATTATATGAGCTCATAATTTTAATCTCCCACTTTATTAAAATTTTAATTTTTAATATAACTGTGCAAAATAATATCATTTATACAAGTCTTTTTTTCTTTTTTCTTCTTTTTTTTGCTAATAGTCTTTTTTTTCTTTTTTACTAACGTTAAAGACAAATATAAAATATATTTTCAAATGTAGATATTAATATAGTAAAGTTAGAGAATATAATGGTTGAGATATACAGTCTTAAAAATTAAAGTAGGAATTTTTTATTCTTATTTTTATTTGTTAGATGACACCTTATCAATAACTTTATTTCATTCTCTAAAATATACCATATCTCCAACGTACCATCTCTCGAAAGAGATAAATGCATTAACTTGGAGTAACTTAGGACATAAAAGAACAAATCTATAGCGATGAAAAGCATAATGCAACTATTTGATTGAAACTTCAGATATTTCAGAAGATTTAAAATAACTATGATGTTTATGTGCTAAAAATCTTCACAGATTTCTCACAACAAAAACATCAATAATACTATATAGGATTAATATAATTTACTTCCACGATTTAAACTTTATGACTAATCATAAAGTGAGGGGGGAGGGTAATCACCTATGGTTCCTTCACAAAGGGCCTTGGCAACACGAAGTGGTGTCTTTCTAATGCCTTCCCTGTTGATATCTTCCCCTAGACCCAGTAACAGGACTTTGACAGCATACTCAATGGAAGCTTTATTTGTTTCTTGCTCAAAACCCTTTTCGCAACCCTTATTTACTCCATTTTCAATCTCAAAATTTAAATGACTCTGACCCAAAAACCCCATTGAAAGAACACTGGAATATCAACTCTCACAAGAATGATAACAACATAAAATAATAATGCATATATAGCACCTTGTTTTCCCTATCTTCGTTTTATGAAGCTTGCTTGTTTATATAAACATATATAAGGTGCATGGTGGTGCCGTGCTATCCAGGGTGTTGGTGGCTGCTCTGGGGCAGCTACACATGTTAAAAAGTAATAAAAAAATTTAAAATAAGTTTTTAAAATATCGTAACACAAGAATTAGTTTTAATTATTAAGAATTTCTCATTTTAATTATTTAAATTTAAAGATGAGAAAATAAGAACAAAAATTAAAAAAATCAATTATCAATAAAATAAAGAGCAAGTAAAGTAAAACAGTTCTTATTTTAACTTATAGGAGAGTAACTTAGAGTATATAAATTTACTCATTCAATATTTTATATTATTCTTTCACTTAACTCTAAATTTGATTTTATAATTACCAATCGTTCATATAAATACTATCAATAACTAATGGTTATGTGATATAAATATTTTTTTCTCTATATTAACATTTACAATAATCATGCAAGATATCAATTTAAAAAAACATAAAGTATATGTAAACTTGTTAATTTAATAACAATTGGAAGAAAAAAAATTGATTTGATCCACTTAATTCCTTATATCTTATCTTAGAGATTAATTAACTAATCAAGTTTAACTTTTGGTCTAAACTAGAAGTGACAATCTTGTTTAAGTCAGATAGGACTGTTGCAAAGTTTTTTTTTTTTTCTGAATATTTAATAGAATTACTTTTATTGAAACTCAATTTTGAAAAGTTAAGTTAAAATTAATATGTACCTATTAGATTTATATGTTTCGTGGTTAATTTAGCTCAATTTATAGGAAAATCTCAAATATATTTATTTAAATTTTTTATTCTATACTAGATTTCATATGATAAAAAGATACATTTAACAACTTTTTGTTGAGAATTATATTTAATAGTATTTATACATTAAATGGTATTAGATTCTATAAAATTTAATAAAAATTTATTATATATAACTCCTTAAGTTGGTCATGTTAAAAATATAGATCTAAACTTTGCCCCTCCAAGATAAATAAACAAAGACTTATACCTTAAATGTAACCGGAGAAGTGCTAATTTAAAAGACTTAGCATTAATGTTGCATGTGCATGCAACTGCAGCGTTGCTTCATTTTGAGTAAAAAAGGAGCTCCTTTCTCCATTGGATGCTTCAACTTAAACACATGGTTATGATGTACTGAAAATGGTTTTTATAGATTGTTTAATATAAAATAATAATTTTATCTTAGTGTACTAATGAAAATAATAAATTATATTAATCTAGCTAGGATAATGTTAATTATCCTGCAAAGTAATTTAGACAAATTCATAAAAAAGAAATAGACAGTCATTGGTAATTAAAGTCTTAAATTGGTACTTAAGGAGCATGACGGCAGACACCCCAATCTTTTGGAACGTAGAAATCTTATTTTAATTTCTATAATTAAATAGACAATTTCGTGACTAATGTATATATTGTTAAGAATTAAATATTTTATTACTTTAGTTTTAAAATTAAATTTAAGCAATAAAAAGTTAAAAAAATATATTCAAAACATATTTATGATATTAAAATAATAAAAATATAATAAATATTTTTTAATAAAAATTTAATTTTAAATATTTAATCTCAGTTTAGGGTTTAGGGTTTAATATTGTGTGAAGTGACTTATTTTGTAAGTTACTTAATATTTTTATTGTTTTATATAATTCTAAAATAGGAAACGTATCAGAGTCTGCGATCTAGAAGCTAAAGCAATATTTTTACATTATTAAGGATTAACGTGTTGGAGTTTTATATATATATATATAATTTAGAAATTATATATCTATAAAAATATGAATTTTTTTTTTGAAAAATCATTAATGACAGTTTTTAATGTAAGTTTTATAGAACAATGAAAAGTTATAAAATTTTAAAATTCGTTAATAGTGTTTTTTAAAATATATTAAAAATATAAAAAGTCAAAACTCATCAAAGATTATTTTTTTAAAAAAATAAAAAATTTAAAAATAAAAAATTTTAGTGATAATTTTAAAAAAATATTAAAACATTGTCTATGATAAATTTTTTTAAAAATTACATTTTTATAATTTTTCTAAAACACTATATTGAATAATTAAGGGTGACTTTGAAAATTTATTTTTAAACGAGCACGGAAAGCTGCAATTTTCTTGATATGATGCACAAAAAATATTTCTGAAAACAATAATAAAGAGGTGGCGTCAATTGAGGATTTGGCAACTCATTCAAATTGCAAATAATAAATTATTCAATCCCAAATATATTTGAGCAAGTTGCCTGCAAAAGTTCCTGTACTTCGAAAAGTACAGCCTGTTCATGATAGAATATCAATACCTAGGTTGTCTACTAATAGTAACTTAACTAAAAATATCTATTTTAATAAACTATATAATTATGTTATAAATTATTGTAATTTTTTTTATAAATTCTTCTCAACGCACCTTTTATAGCCTTAAAATATCTATAATAAAGCCAATGCGATACCGAATAATTAATTAACAGAATCTTTTATCAAATTTGGTGATAATGTATTATATTGTTCACTAGCTCCTAAAACACTCTACTTCATAAGTGAGTATTTTGTGAGATGATTTTTTGTTTTTTGTTCGGCAAGGTAATGGATCATCAATCACCAAATCAATGTGACGTTGCTGCAAGCCCACGGATCTTTGCTAGATTTTTTCTTGTCAAGTTGCTATTAATGCTCTTTTGTTTGCTCTACAAAATATTTCCTTTAGTGTTTGTTTAGATATTTTCTTAAAAATGGGATGGAAGGAGAATGAAAAATTTATTTATAATTAACTTTTGTTTTGAAGTTAAGAAAAAAATAGGGAGAAGGGTTAATGCTCTTTTTTTCTTAAATTTTTGAAGTCTTTCCTAAATTCAATTCTTTGAGTTCTTTTTAAATTAACAAACTTTTATAAATTTTAAATATTTAAAATTAAAATATTTTTTTCTCTCTTCCTTTATTCTTCAAATTCTTCTTTTTTCTCTTTCTAAACATTCAAACAAAGTCATAAATCTCATGGTATCTTTCCTTTATAGGCCTTTAGTAACTTGACAACATTCATAGTTTTAAAGTTTGGTAAAGAACAAATTACTACACAAATATATGATGGCAATCAATTACTTTTTATTGATTTTCAAGCAGTCAATTGTTAGTTATCAAAATATATAAAATAAATATTTATAATTAAAATAGAATCGAGAAATACTAAAAATAAAATTTTTATTGTGTAGAAGAATATTATAATTTATCTCTAATTACAACAAGAACCAATAGGACTTTTTAGCTTCCTTTATTTTTAAGTTTGTTTTAGAAATTTTTAGTGACCCTTGATGAAGCATTTTTATGTTGTGATTAAAAGATTTGTCGCAAATTCTCATCAAAATTTAAACAAATTAATGTAGTACTAGAGTTACCCTAGATTGTCTCCCATGAACATTGGCTATTAATCTTCATTAAACATGTTGAAGGCATTAATTGAACAAGCAATTAAAATGGGGGGTTTTATAGTTTCAAAATAATATAAGGAGCAGCAAGCAAACAAGTTTAATTAATTCAAACAATAGAAAGCAACAATCCTTAGTTCATCCACATAGATTCTATCCTCATTCCACTCAAGATTTAACACTCATCCTCTCTCCCATTAATTAGGTTAATTTAACAAGCGAAAATCAACTTTATGGTCCCAACAAAATTACACAATTTGTTAGGCTCTAATCCCTCATCCCAAGATTACGCAACCTTAGAATTAAACCTAGGATTAAGCAATCCCTAGTTTAGAATCTTCTTAAAACGAATTAGGGTTAATTAGGCAATGTCCCCCTTATTCACCATTAATTCAATTCAAGAGGCAAGGAAGAAGTAATGCATGAAAAGAAAGGAGTTATAATTATCATTAAAATCAAGGAACTCAAGAATCCATGTGAACTCACTAAGGATTACACAAAAATTTAGCCCTCCATGGAAATGGGGGTAAAAAACATAGTTTGAAAATGCAAAAAACTCCTTGGCATTAATGTAAAAGTAAGAAAAATGAGAAACCAAACTCTAGGTTGGACCCTTGGCTGTCACCCAAGGTTGCCCTCCTTTGCCTTAATACAATGATTTACCTATCAAAAGGACTTGGTTGGTCACAAATAGGAATAAGTAAGGTTCAATTTGATCAAGGAGGGTCAAAAGCTCAAGTGGGTTTTCAAGATAAGGGAATCCTTTTGAGTGAGTGAATACAACCAATTAGAATGAAATGCATCAACTGAGATAGCCTAAGAGGTTCAAACATTCTTTCACCTTGTTTTTCATCATTTTTTCATTATGTGAAGATCTCTTCAATCGCTTGGACCTTGCTTCATTTTATTTTCCTTCATTTTTCATTCTTTCTTTTATGATTTCTTGGACTTTGGCAACCACTCTTTTTCTTCAAATTTAAGCAAATTTTTTTTTACATGTATGATGTCCACCACCCCAAACTTGAGAGTTTGCTTGTCCTCAAGCAACTACAGTCAAAATCAACACCCCAAACTTAGTGTTTGCATTTACTCTTGATGTTACTCAAAAGAAATACGTTCTTGATGGAAGAAAAAAAAATGTTTTGGCAGACTAAGTTTGACAAAAGAAGGGAATGTAATACAATAAGGTACAAGGGTGGGCAATGGTGAGTGGGTGTGTGTAAAGGAGGCCTCAATCATCTAGATAAAAAAAATTGCATAATGCATATTCAACTAAGAAGCAGGGCAAGTTTTAGAGGATAGATGCAAAATTACATAGAATATACACACAGAAAGGAAATTAGGGGCTCAATTCTCTACCATGGTAAAAATGGTGATAACTACTTAACATCGTGTGAGGATAATTCACCTTGCAAGAAAAGATATTCAGCATGGCATGGAGAGAGAATTATTTACAAAAGTAGAATG